ATATATATATATTGTTGTTGTTGTTGGAGTCCTGGTGTGATGCTGTGGGTTAGTGTGCTGGATTGCAAGGTCGGTTTGAACCAGAAAGTTGCCGGTTCCAGCTCACCATTTGCTCCTTGGAAACCTTGTGGGTTTGAATTGCCAACTTTGTGGTTCACAGTCTAGTGCTTATCCTACAATGTCACACCAAGAGAGAGAGAGAGCTCTGGTAGCATAGGGTTACAATTTGGGCTGTGAACCACAAGGTCAGCAGTTTGAAACTACCAGCTGTTCAATGGGAAAAAGATGCGGCATTCTGCTCCTGTAAAGATTTACAGCCTTGGAAGCCCTGTATAGGGCACATAACCACCACCATCATGTATGTATATATATACACACGTGTATATAAAATATATACTTTGAGCCCTGGCGTGGCACTGTAGAATAAGCACTGAACTGGAAACCACTACGTCAGTGGTTCAAACCCACAAGCCACTCTTTGGAAATCCTCTACATGGATGCTATAAGTTAGAACAGACTCAATAGCACACAACCACAACACAGTAACTTATATGATATATATGTTGTTGTTACGTGTTGTCAAGTCGGTTCCCACCCATAGTGACCTTGTATAAGGTTTCCAAGGAGTGGCTGGGAAGCTTCAATCAGTGGCCTTGTGGTTCAAACCAACTTTGCAGTCCAGTGCATTAGCCCGTAGCATCACATATATAGTTTTGTTTATTTGACATTGTGGTAAAAAAATATATATATAAACCCAAACTCACTGCCCTCAAGCCGTTTCCAACTCATGGTGACCCTACATAGGGTTTCCAGGGCTGTAAACCTTTATAGCAGTGGAAAGTCTCATCTTTCTTCCATAGAGCGGCTGGTGGATTCGAACTGCTGACCTTTTATATCTGACTTATTTCACACAGCCATTTATTTTCAAGGTTCATGCATCACCAGTTCATTTCTCATTATGGTTAATCATTTTGTTTATCTACTCATCTAGTGGTGGACGCTTGCGTTGTTTTGATCATTGTCAATAAGAATGCTGCAGTGACCACTAGTGTTGGCCTGGGGGCACTGTGGGTTAGGTGTTGGGCTGCGAACTGAAAGGTCAATGGTTCAAGCCCACCAACCACTTCTTGGGAGAAAGATGAGGCTGGCTGCTCCCATAAAGATTTACAGTTATGGAAAAGCTAGTCAGGGTCATGTGAGTTGGATCAACTTGTTGGCAGTGGTTTGGCTTGGCGGGTTTTTAACATCATTATGTACATAACATTTTTAGCCAGTCCTGGGGTGGACACAGACTTCATAGGACTATCCAGAGTCAGCACTGGACTGCGAACCACAGGGTCGGCAGTTCAAATATCAGCTGCTCCATGGAAACCCTATACATGGTCTCTAAGAGTCAGAAGTGACTCGACAACACTCAACAACAACAACTACATCCAGAGCCTCAAGCAGGAAAGAACCCTGACTTCAGAGGAAAAAACATGTATATGATGTACAAATGCTTTAAATGTCTTAGCGGGCAATGACCATGGTTGATGGAGAACTGGCAGGCACCAAACCCGCAGGTTCCTGTGATGGAGAAAAAGCCTCCACACGAATGATACAGTGATGGTGGCCTTCGCCACCCCAAGCTGCTTCCCTGGCCTTCCCCGTGTGCATTTGTACAGGGGGCGGGGCGCCGGGATCCCTCAGAAAACCCTTAACCAGGGGGAAGGACATTTTCTACGAAAGCAGCCCTACACTGTAGCCTGCTGAGCTCACTGTCTCTTCCTGAAAGTGCTTTTCATGCAACATCAGCTCAAGGGCTCTAAGCTTCCTAACAATGCCTGGGCCGCAGGAAAACAAGCTCCCTCTTTGTGCTCGAGTGGAATTAAAAATCCACTCGCAATTGAATCCCTCCTTTTGTCCCTCTTCAAAAGAGCTTATGGTCTCAACAGGCAAATACGCCATGGCTTTATAAGTGAGAAGAAGTTCTGGTGGTATGGTGGGTCAAGCACAGGACTGCTAATGCAAGGGAGAGGAAGGAGGCTGTCTGTTCTCTAAACATTTACCATCTCGGAAACCTTGTTGTTGTTGTTAAGTGCCATCGAGTCGATTCCAACCCCTAGTGAGTCTATATAGTGTTTCCAAGGAGCAGCTGGTGAGCTTGAACCGCCGGCCTTACAGTTCAAACGACCTTGCAGTCTGACGCATTAGCCCACAGCACCACACCAGGACTCCGTCTCAGAAACCTGAACAGGGTCAATAAGAGTGAGAATCAACTTGGCTCCTGTAGATTTCATTCCCCCACCAACCCCCTCTTTTTCAGCTCTTTAGGTGAGAAGGTTGCATTTAGGGTTCACAGGGATTCTAGAGTTTCTCTCACCCAAGAGCTTGTCCCTTGGAACATTTTGGGGTTGTGTTAAATTACCACTATGTGTCCTTCCAAACCTGAAATTGCATGATTCAGCAACAATAATAGCAACAGAACATGGTTACATTCATTCATTCGAGGAAATTAATCACCACTTCCTTTGTGCATCCGGTAGAGAATCCTGTAAGCATGTGAGCATGTCTGTTTCCCCCTGCTCCGTGAAGCTTCTTGCTGTGTTCTCTTTGGGAATCCCAAGCCACAATCCATACTGAAGTTCCATGCATAGTTGGGCACCTAGGGTGATGGGCATCTTTTGTTATCTAACTGCCTGTTCACTCTAGGGAAACAGAGGTCGTTGGGAGGTAGCCGTCCCTAGTCCTCCTTCTACTATGGTCACCACGTGGTCTAAGGGAGAGAGTTTTGCTGGTGGGAGTTTTGCTGACACACTTGGCAGACTCTTGTGACCCTCTGTGTTTGAAATAGATTCATAAAGATACACTAAGTAGAGGTGAGCTAAACCACTAGTCTCACTTCCCCGGTCACTAGAGTCAAGTCTGTTTTGCTGGTGGTCACCATGACACTGCCCGTGTCTCCAGGGCAGTAAGACTCTGGGTTTTGATTATTTGACTGAGCTCTTCCCTGACACCTCATGACTCTAATCAGAAGTGACTGTGTGTCAGGGAACGGAAGTACTATTTTATACACCAGAATATGGAGTATTTGATTCTCCCTAGGTGATGGATGAAGATGGATTTTTATTGTCTTCACTCTCTTGTGAAAGTTTTCATCACGGTCATTTGTGATAATATTTTCATTTGTATATAAAAAAGTTGGCAGGGGGTAGGCAGGGCAACACCTAACTGCTTCAACACACACATACAGTTTAGCAGTAACAGCCGTTCCTGGCTACCGGAGGTCATGGTATTTGGGCTTCTTTTCATTACTTGAAGGGTTGGCAACAGAAAGAGGGACCACGTTAGTTTCCTGTGGCTGCTGTAACAAGCTCCCACAAACTCAATGACAAGAAACAACCCAGCTTTACCCCCTCACGGTTCCCAAGGCCAGTCTGAAGGTCAAGGTATAGGCAGGGTGTGTTCTGCCCTCTTCTAGCTTCTGGTGCCTACTGTTTTCCTTACCTCCAACCTCATCACTCCATCGGTGGTCTCCTCACCTGCTGAGTTCAACCAACCTGTGCCTTTGCAGGTTCACCTAGATGGCCCAGGGCATCCCCTCACCTCAAAATACTTCACGTGACCTCTCGTACAGTCTTTTACCATATAAGGGTGCTGTTGTTGTTGTTAAGTGCCTTCGAGTCCGTCCGTGACTCGTAGCCACCCTGTTTAGGGTTTCCAAGGTTCTTTAAAATCTTTGCAGGAGCAGAAAGCCTCATCTTTCCCCCTCAGAGCAGTTGGCGGTCTCGAACCATGGACCTTGTGGTTTGCCGTTCAGTGCTTATCAAAGGGAGCCACTGCATTTCCCTATAAGGCCACTGACTGTCATAAATTCAGGTAATTAAAAATCCTGAAAACAAGCCCACTGACTCACAGTAAGCCTCTAAGGCAGAGTAGAGTTTCCAAAAGTTCCATAGGGTTCCAATCTTTTTTTTTTTCCCAAAGATTTGATGGTTTACGAATCCTCTGGTGAAAACGTCACACCATCATGGCAGATCAAGTCACAGCAGAATCTTTATTCTTTCTTTTTGCCAACCCCAACGCTGGCCTTGGCCGTCCCCCTGACTTTCTTCATGCTGTTTTTGTGTTCCTTGCGCTGTTTCCTTGAGATATTTTTTTTTTCTTCTCATACAGACTATGTCTTGCAAGTCTGAGTTTGCGTTCATTTTTTCTTTGCATAGACCAAGGGATCATAAATCATGCCGAACCCAGGCCACCACCAAAATGGGTTTTGAATCCAAACACAAAAATGGCATCTGGTGTCGTCTTAGGCATTTTGGCAAGTGTTCCCTGCATTTCTGTCTTAGGTACGGTTGCCTTACCAGGGTGAAGGACATCCTTGACCGTTTGTTTCCACTGAAATTGTTGGTTGGTCATGAGCTTCCTGATTCTGTCCAGGGGGTTCCACAGCTGACCATCTTGCTCTTTCTTAAGCAACTTTATTCTGTGAATTTCCCCAAGGATGTTTTATTTTAGATTTATTCATAGTGCCTTTTTTTTTTCCAATATATTTACCTATGTTTTGTATTTATTTTTCAAGAGAAGATAATCTCCCAAGTTTTATTCGTTAACTGTAGATCTATCAACCACTTTCTACAACGAGAACATGTCCCTGACAAAGTTTGGCATAAGTTTGCTTTTGGAGCTTGATTGTTTATGGAACATGGACTATTTTGGGATTGCCAAAAGGTCAATTTGGGAGGGTGGTTCTGCTGCCGTTGGCCGTGTGAGCCTAGGCATTCGGCTTACCCAAGTGTAATCTCCAAGAGCCACAAAGACTGTACTTAGGAGGGGGTCAGGACCTTGGCCTGTAGAAGGGAGCTGGAGACTCTGAGTCTGCATTCTCCTGGGACCAGGACAGAGTCGAGTATTCCATCATTAGACTAGATGGGGACTCTTTCAGGACAAACACTGACACACCAACCTCTGCTTCCTGAGACTGAAGTGGTCCTCTCGTCAGTTAATGAACAAGCAAAGTGCCACACGAAGCTACAGATTTCAGACAGTTAGAAAATAAAGTCATTATACTAGCAGTTGCCATTTACAGGACCTTTTGAGACTCCAGACGCCACATTAAATGCTCCATGGATGGTATTTGGCTATTTGAATTTTAGAAACCCAGACCCAGGGAGGATTCAAGTTCAAGTTCAAGGTTCTACAAGCAGCTCCAGCAGGATGGACTCACATTCCAGACCCCTATCTTGCTTTCAGTCTGCCTCGTGCCACATTGGGCTCTGCGTGCCTTCTCTTCCCATTGGATCACTGGGGTTTTCAAAGATGGTGACAGAAAAGTTCCAGAAGCGAATCTTAACTTTTTTAAGCTTGCCACCTTAAATGTTAATGTCTGCAGCACCATTGTGGTGTGTTGGTGTGGCTATCACTCCAGCTGTAGTGAGCTCAGTTCACCAAGGAGACCTGGATGGGGACACCTGGACCAGAAGTCTCAACCATACAGCCTGCCATTGGGGTGTTTAGTTACATACGGAATGAATACCCGCGAAACACCCCCGCCTCCATACCCACACCTCCACCACCAAGTACGATTGTTTCTGATAGGCCCAGGATCCACGTGAGTCGTGAAACCTCGAACCACATCAACAGGAGTGACCTGGAGACAAGGAATCAACACAGGCATGAGAGCCAGACAGACTGGAGCTTGGAAAGTCACATCAGCTGAGTGACTTTAGGAAAGCTCCTGGAAATCACAGTTTTCCCATCTGTAATGTGGAGCAGATAGCCACTGGGAAGTTTAAGGCTAAATTTGTGTTGTTGTTGTTGTTGTCAGGTGCCATCGAGTCAGAACCGACTCATAGCGACCCCATGCACAGCAGAACGAAACAATGTCCGATCCTGGGCCAACCTCACTACCACTGCCACACTTGATGCCATCAATGATGTCACCTGGCTGATCCATCTCGTTGGGGGTCTTCCTCTTTTTCTCTGACCCTCCACCTTACCCAGCATGACATCCTTTTCCAGTGACTGTTCTCTCCGGACAATATGTCCAAAGTATGAGAGACAAAGCTTAGCCATCCTGGCCTCCAAGGAGCACTCTGGTTGCACTTCTTCCAAAACAGATCTATTGGTTCTTCTGGCAGTCCATGGCACTTTCAGTATTCTCCTCCAACACCACAATTCAAAGGCATCAATTCTTCTACGAGATCTTCCTTATTCACTGTCCAGCTTTCACATCCATATAATGTTGTTGTTGTTAGGTGCTATCAAGTCTGTTCTGACTCACAGCAACCTGATATACAACCAAACAGAAACACTGCCCAGTCCTGTGGCATCCTCACAACAGTTGCTGTACTTGAGCCCTTGTTGCAGTTACTGTCAGTCCATGTCCTCGAGGACCCGTGACCTTACCAAGCATGATGTCCTTCTCCAGAAACTGATCTCTCCTGATAATGTCCAAAGTTTCTGAGATGAAGTCTCGCCTTCCTCATTTCTAAGAAGCATCCTGGCTGTGCTTCTTCTAAGACAAATTTGTTCGACAAATTTACGGCCTTGGGAACCCTGTGGGGGCAGTTCTACTCTGGCTTACAGGGGCACTGTGAGGTGGAACTGACAGCCACTGCCGTCTGTGGTATAGTCTTCACTAACACCATCATTCAAATACATCCACTCTTCAGTCTTCCTTATTCGCCATCCAACTTTCACATGACAAACATGGGCATGCACTGTGTTATCTGGTATCATGTGCATATCATGGTATAACCACAAGGTCAGCAGTTCGAAACTACCAGCTGTTCCGTGGGAGAAAGATGAGGCTTTCTGCTCCTGTAAAGATTTACAGCGTCGGAAACCCTATACAAGGTTGCTAAGAGTCTGAACCGACTTCAAGGCACACAACCACCACCACCATTAAGACATTAGGGAACTCCAGTGGCACAATGGTTACAAACTCCACTACTAACCGAAGGCTTGGTGCTTCTAAACCCAGCAACCACTCTGTAGGAGAAAGATGGGGCGCCTGCTTCTATAAAGATTTACGGCCTTGGGAACCCTGTGGGGCAGTTCTACTCTGGCATACAGGGTCACTGTGAGGTGGAACAGCCAGCCATTGTTGTTTGGCACAAGGTCATTGGTGGCTCAGTGGTAGAATTCTTGCCTTCCATGCAGGAGACCCAGGTTCGATTCCTGGCCAAGATACCTCCTGTGCCGCCACTGCCTGCCTGTCAGCAGGAGGTTGGGGTGGTGCTCTGATGCAGATCAGGTTTCAACAGCGATTCCAGGTTAAGAAGAAAGACCTGGAAATCAAGTTCAGGAAATTGGCCAGCAAAAACTGGACGGATCACAAGGATGCAAAGTGCAACTGACCTTAGGGATGACAAGGACTTGGGACTCACTCTTTCCAGCCACTGTGGACAAGGTTACCAGGAGTCAAGGGCTGGTACCAGGACTGCTGATAACAGCAGCATCATGGTACTTAGAACATGAGCTGTTGTCGTTTGGTGCCGTCAAGTCTGCTCTAACTCATAGTGACCCTGTGCACAACAGAATGACACACTGCCCTGTCCTGCACCAACCTCATAGTTGTTGTTACATTTGAACCTTGCTGGTACTGCATCAATCCATCTTGCTGGGGCTTTTCTTCTCTTTCACCAACTCTTCACTCAATCAAGCACAACGTCTTTCTCCAGGAACTGGTCCCTCCTGACAACATGTCCTAAGTACAAGAAAAGAAGTTCCTCCATCTGGCTGGACTTCTTCCAAGACAGATTGGTTTGTTCTTCTGGTAGTCTGTGGTTCTTTCTATATTCTTCTCCAACACCACAATGCTAACACATCCATTCCTTTCTGGTCTTCCTTATTCACAAGTAGGAACTGAAAGATATCAATTCCCTTCCATGTCTTCCTCTTCTGCTACCTGTTAACTCCTTTTTACTTTTGGCTCCTACCTTGCTTTGGGCATCAAAGATCACCTGGCTCTGGTGCCCTTGAGTGGGTACATCTCCGATCACTCTAAATTGCATCTCCAACATGTTCCATTTGAAGATGCTTCTCATTTACTCCAGGAGTTTGAAAACACTGTAATGTTCTCCTTTAATGATCTATTTCTCAGTGGGAAGCCTGACATTATAATTAGCACAGGCTCCTGTATGGGATGACATTTTGTTCAACATATCCTTGTTCCTCCTGGGTGTGTACTGTAGCAGACACTGGCAACAGGATCCCAATTATGTTGTTGGGGTTGAGCCTGGGAACTGGCACAAACTCCCCGAGGCTAAAGTCACAGCAGCATGACCCCAGATGAAAGTAACACAGGAATTAACACAGCTCTTCCAGTTGCTCTCCAGTTTCCCCAGGCTACAGACACACAGACGCCTGGCCCCTGCTTTCCCTCAGCCTTCAGATCAAATGAGCCACAGCCACCTGCAAAAACTACCCTAAGGATTGGAGTGTAAAAGCAAGATCCACTTCTGCATCTATTCTATTCTATCCTCTCCCTGTTATGGAAATTAAAGGGACAAAAATGGAAGCAAAAGCATTTGAATCCATTTTCATATGAGAACTTAAAGTTTCCAGTCACTTCTAGTTGACTTTTGCTCCTGGACAGGGAGATATTGGCTAGGAACATGGTTTTCAGAAGGCCTTTTAGACCTGAAATTAGCCCTGGTGGCACTATGAGTTAGGCATGTTGGGCTGTTAACAGCAAGGTCGGTTGATTGTTCTCCCTCAGGGTTCTCTGAGGGAGACAGATGAGGCTGTCTACTCCTGTAAAGACTTACAGTCTCTGAAACCTTATTTATAAGGGTGGCTAGGAGTCTTGGTGTGGCGCTGTGAGTTAATACGCTGGACTGCAAAGTTGTTTGAACCACAAGGTTGGTGGTTCAAGCTCACCAGCTGCTCCCAGGAAACCCTATACAGAGTGGCTATGGATCAGAACAACAACAGGAGTCAGATTTGACTTGTTGGCGGTGGGTTTGGTTTTGGGTTTAGGCATGAACTGTTCAATATGGCAGTCACTGTTGTTGTTGTTATTGTATACTATCCAGCTGGTTGTAATGTATCGCAACCCTGTTTAGGGTTTCTGAGAGAGGCTGGTTGGTTTGAACTACCAACCTGGCCTTTAGTAATCCAGTGCTTATCCTACAGTGCCACTCCAGAGCTCTAGCCACATGTAACTCCCTAAATTTAAGTTTGAATGAATCAAATTTGAATTAAAATGTAGGATGTAGCCCCTGTTTGCACCTAATCACATTTCAAGTGTCCAGTACACCACCTGTGTGCCCAGGTAATGAGATACTTAGAGTGAACGTGCCAGGTGACTGCCTCACCTCCGTGTGTGCCACACGGTGGATTCCTAACAGGTGCTGCCTCACCTGCTGGGCTCTGTCACAGATGATTTTCTTAGCTGAAGGTTGTAATGAGAAACGTCTTCAACCCCTTTTCCATTCCTGGAGAGACCACAGAGAGGACAGTCTCTGCTGAAAACGAGCTGCTCCCTTCCCCAGAAGTAGAAATCCCAGGGTCCCCTGTGATCCCCGCTTTCACCATGACTTTAAAAATGGTCAGTGGCCCAAAGAGCTTAATTTTCCTTTTCTTCACTGTAGAGTGGAATACAGGCCGACTTCGGGCATACTGTGGGCTCAGTACCAGGTCATAGCAATAAACCCAGTATCGTAATAAAACCACATGGACGGTTTGGTTGTGTCCACTCTAGACTGTAGTCTAGTAAGGAACACTAGTTGGTGGTGATTCGAATCCACCAGCTGCTCCGGGCAGTGGGGCGGGGACAAGATGAGGCTATCCACGTCTAGTCTGCCGTGTAGGGTCCCTATCAGCAGTGGGTGGGTAGTCTATGGAGAATGCAACAACATGCTGGAAACGTTTGAAATATCGTGAGAATAACCAAAAGGTCATACCAAAACAGGAAGTAAGCGTTGGCTGTTGGAGAAAATGGCACCAACAGACTTGCTGGACACAGGGGTGGCCCCAAAGCTCCAGTTTGTGACAAAGACAGTGTCTGAAGCATGCAGTAAAACGAAGTCCAATGCAATGAGGTGGACTCGTGTGGTCCTTTATCACAATACCTGGCGCCTTTGCTTCGCAGGATACTCCACCGCTAAACCATCTCATCTGCTGGGAGTCTCTCTCCGCATTGAGACAGCCTAATTTGTTCAGAAGTTGCAGCAGATAACAAGTTTAATCAATTGATAACATTTGAGGTGCATAATTTAAAATAGTCTTGCCCTATTTGTATTCATATATGCTAATTTTAGTGCACATTAATTATGTATTTAATATGTCCCGGCTTATTCTGTTTTGCCTCCATCCCCTGGGTAGCTTTTATGGTGTGGAGTTGAAAATAATTAAAATGTTACTTGTGTTCTGCAAATAGCAATTAATCAAAGATGAGTCCTGAAATCAAAATTCCATTATCTTTCCCTTCCTCCAATTGCATAGGAGGAGCGAAATGGTCCCCAGGTGTCCTGTAGTTCTCTGTGGTTTGTCGCCCATTTCAGAGCGACAGTTGCCCTTTGAACTCTCCCCACGGCTTTGGGCTCATCTTCCTGTTGACATGGAGACCGGAGCGATGCCAAGGTGATGAGTTCAGCACGTGGGTTTGGTGGAGGAACTGAACAATCGGTTGCTCTCCATACAACGCACAAGGGGAGGATCGACAGCTTCCATCTGGGTGGAGGTCCTAGGGAGCTTGGGATGCATCCATGTTGCTGCCAACGTGGAGTTTTCTAAGTCATTTCAAACCACAGGCCCTCTGGTGGCTCAGCTCGTGGGGAAATGGACAAGCCTACGGTCTGTGTTTTCTGGAACACATGAACCCTCTCTCAGGGTCTCTTCCTGATTGGTCCCTGTTTCACCTGCAGGCTTGTAGTTATGAGACGATCCATTTCTTTTTTTGTCTTGGGTCTAGTCCCAAAGATTGTCTTGCCCCAAAGTCCTGCAACTTACAGTTGATGTTGTTGTGAAATGCCATAAGTTGAGTCTGACACAGAGTGACCCTGTATAGGGTTTACAAGGAGTGATTGGTGGTTTTGAACCATTGACTTTGAGGTCAATGTAGGATAAACAGTGCAGTGTTTACCCCACAGTGCCTTCCAGGGCTAGAACATAGCACCCCTTTCTCATCTTGTTGTTGTTGTGAGGTGCCGTTGAATCTGTTCCAACCCATAGCAACTCTGTATAGGGTTTCCGAGGAGCAGCTGGTGAGCTTGAACTGCCGACCTTGCAGTTCAAACAGCTTTGCAGTCTGGTGCATTACCCACAGCCCCACACCAGGACTTCCTTGTCTACTACTTTCTATTGTTCCTGTCTTAGTTCTCTGGTCCTGCTAAAACACACATACCACAAACAGAAATGTCATCTCTCACAGCGTTTTGTTGATGTTGTTAGGTGACATCAAGTCAGTTCCTACTACTAGCGATCCTGTCCACACAGAACGGACACTGCCTGGTCCTGCAGCATTCCCACAATTGTTTGAGCCCATTGCTGCTGCCACTGTGGCAGTCCATCTCGTTGGGGATCTTCCTCCTTTTCACTGACCTTCCCACTGTACCTACCACGATGTCCTTCTCCAGGAACAGGTCCCTCCTGACATGTTCAAAATATGAGAGACAAAGTCTCACCATCCTGGCTTCAAAGGAGCATTCTGACTGTACTTCTTCCAAACAGATTTGTTTGTTTTTCTGGCACTCCGTGGTACTTTCAATATTCTCCTCCAGCACCATTATTCAAATGCATAGATTCTTCTACGGTCTTTCTTATTCACTGTCCAGCTGTCGTATGCATGTGAGGTTATTGAAAATCCCATGGCTCGGATCAGGTGCACCTTAGTCCTCAAGCTGACGTTTTTGCTCTTCAACTCTTTTAAAGATGTTATTTGCAGCAGATTTGCTTAATGCAATAAGTCTCTTGATGTCTTGACTGCTGCTTCCATGAGTGTTGATGGTGGATCTAATCAAAATGAAGTCTTTTGACACTTGGATCTTTTCTCCATTTATCATGTTATTTATTGTTCCAGTGGTGAGGATTATTGTTTTCTTTACACTGAAGTGCTGTCTGAGACTGTAGTCACAGATTTTCATCAGTAAGTATTTTCAGTTCTCTTTGCTCTGGCAAGCAAAGTTCTATCATCTGCAGGTTGCAAGTTGGAAGTAAGTCTTCCTCCAATCCTGATGCCATAATCT